TTTAACCCACTTCTCGTGATCCAATCGAGCTGACATTTTCCACACAGACTCGTTGTGCGTGACAATTAATGTTCGTGAAATTTTTTTTCCAAAATGTTACACTTTTTAGGACAAAAATATTATATTTAATTACCAATTGCTTAATGGTGCAATGCAATCATCTGACCCATAGGTGGCAGCCATCAAGCCAGAGGACGAGAGGACTCTAGCCGCCACGCATATAAAGGATGTATAGTGAAAAACTTTGTTTTTATGGGTTATACTTATTTCTGAAGTCCAGTCGACGGAACAGACATTTTTCACTGGTGCTATTCATTTTCGTTAACCCGATGTTTTATTAGTACTCGGGAGATCTTCCAAATGTTTGTAATAATCTTGAAAAAAAGAAAACCGGGGCCTGCATAAGAAATTTCGGAATCCGAAATTAGTTACTGATCGATACGAACGCGTGACGTCAGTCAATTACATCACTTCCGGGCTTTTCACGACAATTATGGGCGTCACGTGGCATCGGGCGACGTCATCTTTGCGACTGCGAGACGCATTTGATAACCCCGCGAAATAACCGAACATTCGAAAACTATAAGGAATCGTTGCTAAAAAAAATCGAAAATCCAACTTGGGATGTTTAAAGCGGAAAATTATCCCCAATAAAATGGGCGATTGAAGTTAATTACTTCATAAAGTTGATAGAAATGTGCATGTTTAAAAAAATTAAACACGAGCACCAGATTGAGCATGGAGGTCCCGGCTGAATTAAAACTTTGAAAAACAAAAATTTGATTTTTTTAAACGCTTTAATGAAATGTACCATACTCGTAATGGCAGAACTCCACGACTCCAGGAAGTGGCCCCGCAGCTTGCCACAGCGTAAGGGAGCGTGGTGATGTACAGCCAACGTGAGTTGAGCGTGGACAATTAGACCCGTAAAAAAAATACCGTTTAAAAATATATTATTTTAATTTTCAATGATAGAATATAGTATTGTCATCAGTATGACTTACCTATACCAAGTTTGCAGTCGATAGCACATTGGGAAGTGGGTAAAAATTGTTACAATATTTTAAGGATACAAAACAGAATGAGTTAAATAGAAGCGTGTAAAATGTTAAAAATATATATTATGATAGAATATAGTATTGTCATCAGTATGACATACCTATACCAAGTTTGCGGTCGATAGCACATTGGGAAGTGGGTAAAAATTGAGTTACAATATTTTGTAAGGATACAAGACGGCGTGAGTTAAATAAAAGCGAGTTAAATAATAAAAAGGACACCACAGGATATCTGTCCCCCCACCGCACGAGTTTGTTCGTGCGCCACCGTGCGGATCAATGCAGGGTTGGTAAGTGGCAGCACCTCATTGACCAGATTCAAGCGTCAGACAAAGAGAACGAATCGGACAGGTGCCATGAGCGAGCACCTATGAAGGCTGACACGGCACACGAGGGGGGGGGGGTGGCCAGCACCACCACGCCCGGCCGCCTTTGTCTCCAAGCAGCGACGTTCACACACCACACCAGGGTTCTCATGGAGGCAGAGTCAACCCCTCAAAAACCCAGGACCGGCTCAAATAAATCTGTCACTCGTGTTGGCCGTGAACGGGAATCGAACTCGGGTGGCCGGGTTCGACTTTTGGGGCAAGTGCCATTAGCGTCACCACCCGCATGCCAGACAAGAAACATTTTAATACATCTGTGAAGCGTATCCTCTTGACTATCTTAAGGGTTCATCTTCTTGGTTCTTTCGGTAACGTAGAAGGGAAATAATAAAATAGGTTTATAAAAATAAAACAATCAAATAATGTTAAAACATTTTTATTTTATTATTTCCCTTCTACGTGACTTTACCAAAAGAACCAAGATGAATCCCTGCAGGCACGGAAGCTTTAAATATAAATTTCTCTTAAGGGTGACCCTTAAAATCTTCCAACCCTGCCTTAAGATCATTAGATTCTACACAAGTCACTCCAGACCACGTGCCATCATATAATTACCATACATCTAAATCTCGATTGAAAGCTTTCGTGACTGCAGGGATTTATATTTTTTGTTCTTTCGGTAAAGTCACGTAGAAGGGAAAATTTTAATATTTCCCTTCTACGAGGAATACCATACATCTCTTACGGTACCGTTTATTGCAATAGATTTTTTGAAACCCCATAAAATGAAGTCTGTCCGTTTTGTCTCTCAAATTTAGTTCTACATAAAGACGGCTGCTTGTGTTGCAATCGAAACGTCGTACTCTATTTAATTTATTTTCTTTCTACGTGACTTTACCGAAAGAACCAAAGAATTAACCTGCCACGTTAACGTTCGAATTTAGAAATGTACTTTCCTACATTTGTCAGGGAATTGGCCCAAGACCAACGCGGGGTTCTTTCCGATAAGAATTCTGAAAACCTAGGGGAAGGGGGGGGGCACGGTTGTCTGGGTGAATATTGACACTCGCCTCACTTTAGAAAACACCAAATTCTCCTAAATGGCAGTGTAGCAATGCTCTAAAAATGGTGGCACAAGCCCTCCATAAAATGAAAATTAAAAAAAAATTAACTCGTAAAAAAAGTTTTTCACTATAAATCTTTTATATGCGTGGCGGCTAGTCCTCTCGTCCTCTGGCTTGAGATGGCTGCCACCTATGGGTCAGATGATTGTCTACCAGCATTAAGCAATTGGTAATTAAATATTTTTAAAAAATTCTCTAAAGTGTAAAAATTTGGAAAAAATTCACGAAAATTAATTGTCACGCACAACGAGTCTGTGTGCAAAATGTCAGCTCGATTGGATCACGGGAAGTGGGTTAAAAAACGACCGAAAGATTTGCACGGTCGTAAGCGCGCGAGCAAGCGAACTTAATATAAAGGATTTAAAAGTCGAATACGAGGGTTGCGACGTGTCCCGTTTTCCCAGGATAGTCATCGTTTGAGGGGAGGAGCCATCCTGTGAAGAAAAGAAATCGCTACCAGATATTCCCACAACATTAAATATTAAAGATTGTGGTTGTCTATCGTGTTTTAATGTATTACTCCTCAAGGGTATGCGGCGTTTACCTGAAGTTCCCCCCCATTTTTATCGTGATAAGTCCCGTTCTGTTTTCCTACCTCAGAAGTGGCAGCTCTTTACAAGTCATTGACATCTCAGAGTACGTAAAGTGATTTAAAAAAATCTTCTTGGTTCTTTCGGTAAAGTCACGTAGAATGGAAATAATAAAAAAATAAAATATAAAAGTTGAAGCAATTACCCACAAAGCAATAAGACAGGAAGGGGGGGGTTGGAACATGGTCACACATATTAACAGAGTACTGTGGGGCCGTCTAAATGACGTCACGCGATTTTGGACGATTTGACCCTCCCTCGTCACAAAAAGTCAGACCCCCCCAAATAAAACATGCTTCAAATCTCTTTAAACTATTGTCATTGTAGTGCGTATTTAATGTGGCGCTGTACTGATGGAGAAAATTAAATAGACTTTTTAATGAATATTAAGTAGAACGTGTTGTCTATATTTATTTACAAGTTGCGCCTTTTGATGTGACGTCACATTTCTCAACCCCCCTCCCATGTCACACATCTTACCCCCCCCCCGGTGTGTGACGTCATTTATGGACGGCCCCTGTAAAGGGTTTCCCTCGCCGTGCAGTAGATGCATTCCAATATAGGGCACAAATGGGAAACCGCACGAGACTGCCGACTCGCACAGCTCTTTGACCATACTTCACCACACTGGTCACTGCAGGTTGGAGAGTGGGACACCAAGGCAGAGTTGATGGGGAAAGACATTCACATTATAGGTCAAAATCTGACCACTTAAATAAATAAAAAACAATTGTAGATGTAACCTTCAAGTAGCAATCTTTATTTGTCATTAACAGTAAAACGTCAGGATACATAAAACAGTCAATAAAGCTTTGTTATAATTTAAACTTAAATAAGTGCTCGGATTTCAAAGCTGTCGTTTAACACCGCTGCATTAGCGCAGACAGCTTTGTGTTTAATGTGCATTGAGCGATTATAACCACCACAAGCTCCAAAACGTACCAGATTCGATGAAAAAACACCACTTAGATGCGGTGAGACTCGCACAGAAAGGGACAGTGTGAAAAAGCACCAACGTCAACCATTAGAGTTGAGACTTGTCAGGCTGGAAACTTTACCAAGAATACATGGAACATGCAACTGAAACGCCGATTTAAAGACATGCGAGGATCACCAAGACTCCCACACCGAGCTCTTGCGAGCAGAGTAGCACCACGGACCCAGGTGAACTAGTTTCCCCCCTTCTTGGTTCTTTCGGTAAAGTCACGTAGAAGGGAAGTAATAAAATAATAAAAATAAAACATAATAAAACAATTCTCACGACGTTTCGGCCACAACGCAAGCAGCCGTCCTCAGGTGAAAACCAGGTCCGTCGAGGCGACAGAGTCTGAATGAGGACGGCTGCTTGCGTTGTGGCCGAAACGTCGTGAGAATTGTTTTATTATGTTTTATTTTTATTATTTTATTATTTCCCTTCTACGCGACTTTACCGAAAGAACCAAGAAGATGAATCCCTGCAGTCACGAAAGCTTTAAATCGAAATTTAGTTTCCCCCCGTTGATACCATCAGCGAGACGGCAAGACCGGAGTTATGCCAACGTCTTTAAAAAGCCAATAAAAAAAGTCAATATGTAAACGACCTTATTTATGAAGACATCACAACCCAGGTATTAGCCATAAACAGAAACGTGTAGCCCCAAAATTCTGCTGTGGTCCATGGACTAGGGAGGAACAGAATTTGATAGCGTGCCATTCTTTTTCAGCGGAGGCGATGTTCAACCTCACTCCGTTGCACAAACAGAAAGACATCCCCCACCCCTATATTCCCACTACCTCTTGGCACCGAACACACAAGCGTAGACAGAGAGATGACTTGCCAGCAGCATTCAAACCTCCGTTTCGCACTTGCAAGTCACGCGACGGGAGATGCATAGTTCCCGCTACCTCCGCCGTCCTTCCTCCCTGTTGGCAGCTCAGAAGCCGAAGCCGCGGCCGTGTTCGTCACTGGGCTGAGTGAACATGTACACGCTCCCAGTCACCGTCGGCCTCACCAGCTCTTTCCCATCCTCCTCCTCCAGGGTGCGGGGAAGAAAGCACAACGGTAGCAAGATGTTAACGACCTCTGCTGGCATACAGGAGGGCCATGGGTTCCAAGAGCAACTCTAGATTTGAAGCTTTTGTGACTGCAAGGATTCATATTCTTAGGTTGGTAAAGTTACATAGGTAAAAAATTTTTTTTAATTAAAATTAATAAAAGTAAAATAAAAACTTTCGATTTAAAGCTGCTTTCGTGACTGCAGGGATTCATCTTCTTGGTTCTTTCGGTAAAGTCACGTAGAAGGGAAGTAATAAAATAAAAACAAAACATAATAAAATAATTCTCACGACGTTTGCGTTGTGGCCGAAACGTCGTGAGAATTATTTTATTGGGTCTCATTTTTATTATTTTATTACTTCCCTTCTACGTGACTTTACCGAAAGAACCAAGAAGAGGTAGGGGAGTACTCACGGTGCTGAAGTATTTGTCGAGGAGCGCGAGCGCCGTCTTGTAAATGGTCTCGTTCTCGTGCATCTGGAGCATCTCCAGGTTCTCCAGCCCCTCGCCCTCCTCCACCATGAGCGTCATGTTCTCCACCTCGCCAATCTTCTCCGCGGCCTTCGCACCCCACAGCGAACGAGGGTCCGGTTTGTAAAACGGCTAGGTTGCGGTCAACTCGTGTCGTCGTTATCAAATTGTACCCACTGGGTGGTCGCATTGAGAAGCATCCACCTCGCAACTCGAAAGTTTCGTTAAACGGCTTTGTTGGCAAATAGGTTTTTAAAGTTTGTACCAAGTTGTTGTTTCACGAACCAGAAGCTCGGCAACACGTCAGACGTCATGCCAAAATAAAATGCGAAATAACAGATCAGAGTATGCAGCTGATGTAATGGAGGATAGGAGAATGTGTATGTTGAACGTCTTGCTTCGTACGTAGCCAACCGTGCTAAAAATCAGGGGGCTGGGGGAAGGACAACCCGCACAAGGTCCGAAAGGAATTCAATCCAGATTTAAAAGTACATAGCTCCCAGTGGCTTCCTAATATTGGAAGAGCGTTCCAGACGGCCACGATAGCGCATCTGAAAACACCGGGCAATGCGCTGACCCCATCTGTAAGAGGACAGAGCCGAAAGCCACCGCGACCAAAGTTGGCACAATGGTTTTAATGAAAATTAAGAGAATACGGCGTGGAGCGATGGGAGCGGGCGAGTGGACAGAACCGACAAACGGGGCCACCCCGGTGGGGAGGGCGGGGGGGCAGCCGTGGCCACGATGACGACACGCGGGCAAAACCCACCAGGAAGAGGTTTCCCAGCGCGTTGAGCGCCACCTGCACGTTCCTGCTGTCCTTGGAGCAGAAGAGGTTCAGGATGGGCTTGAGCACGCCCTCCTGCACGAGGTACACGATCTGCTCCACGGAGCCGCCGTTCGTGAAGTTCGTCACGGCCCAGATGGCCTCGCGCTGACACTTGAAGTCGCCCTGCGGAGAGAATGGATGGACACGGCCACCCCACCCGCCCTCAAACAAAGGGCAATAAACAAAGATCCCCCCCATACAGCCTGCCACAAGTCCTGTTATAGGTGCACCTATGACGGCTGGCACGGCACACGCGGGGATTGGGGGGCAGCGCCACGCCTGGCCGCCTTTGTCTCCCCAATGGCGATGTTTTTACATACCGCACCAGGTACTCATTTGAGGCCGAGTCGACTTAGGGGAGGCAGCCCAGGACCGGTTCAGATAATCGTCATCTGGTGTTGGCCGTGGAGCAGTAATCTTAACTAGGGGCACCGGGTTCATTGCAAGCCTGCCAACCACTATAATTACCCAGTGGCTCCCCACTACACGACAGCCAATGATATCCACCATTCGCCACTACGCGATGGCGACGTCACCACGGGTGCCTGTGCCAGGTGTACCGAGGCCATCACATGAAGGGTCGAAGGGCTCGCCAACAGGTCACGGGACAGACCCGGGTAGACTGACCAAGTTGACCGTACCAAGCCCCTACACGCACCCACCTTGTCCAGGACGTGAATGAGGTGGGGCACAAGGCCGGCAGTGATGATCTGCTCGATCTGGTCTATGGGGCCAGCCGCTACATTGGACAGGGCCCACGTGGCCTCCTTCTGGATGTTGCTCTTGGGGTGGCGCAGCAGCATGGGGAACATGTCGAGCGCACCGGCCTTCAGCACCACCTGCGTCTGCTCGTCCGTGCCCGTCACCATGTTTCCGATCGCACGCAGGCATGGGGTCTAGTGGTGGTCGGGGGGAGGGCGGCAGCAGACAGAAAACTCGCAGTCATGTCCTTGCCCTCCCTTGTACTTGAACCGATAGATGCGAGTGTTGTTGGAGGCCAGATCCCGTGGTGGTGGAATGGATCGTTTAGGCAGCTGAAGGCTCTCCAAACCTACGAGTGTAACAGCAGCAGGTCTGGTCGTCTACTCGGGTCTTAAAAATGCAATAAGGCAACTGCCCCTGCAGTGTGACCATGGCAATTATTAAGCAGCACGACCAAATGGAAGGGTTTGGGGGGGGGGTGCATCTCAGACGTAGCTCTGCAATACCCACTTACACACGGCCTGTTCCGAAAAAAAAACACGTTGGGGTGCCCACAATATGGATACAAATAAAAATTAGATTTCACATTCTTAGAAAAACACCGTTGCATCGTTCGAGCATAACGTAACGTCACTCCTGCAGGGCGGAGGTGCTGTAGGTTACAAGGGGAAGAGACCCCTGCAGATGCGTTACCCGCACACCTGCTGGAAGAAAGGCAACCAACCTTACATCGTCTCAGGAAAAAACAAGATGACAACGAGAGAGAACAAAACCTGAAACCACGGCGGAGTTTAACAGCCACCCCCTTTGCCAGGTTCATGAAGGGGGCAGCTTAGGGAGCACAGTCCAGGGCCTAGGAATTGAGAACCCACACTTGCACACAATTTGTACTTTTATACTGGATTTTACTTGCATTTAATTAGTGACTGGCTTACCTTTCCTATACTTTGCACTCCTATCAGGTTTTAGAATCGTTTGTCGTTGCAACTTGCCACTGCTACCCCTACCGGACAGGTGAAAAACATTTTATAGCTCATCGGATTCCTCCTCCAGTATAAAGGATTCCGATTCTGGAGGGTATCACATGCAGATTTACAAAACAGTTGCGCCGCAGCGCTGGAGCGCTGATAAATCTCATCATTGTAAAAATGTGGTCATTAAAAGCCAGAGCAATTTGCTGTCCCACCATCATATCAACCATCAGTCCATTCACCACCCACCACCACCCCAAACCGCCAATCTGTACCACCACCGCTCAATTGCCATTCACCTCCAAGTGGCGGTGACATCACCACGGCACCTGTGCATGAAGTCAGATGCACCGAGGCCACGTTAAGTGTTAAAGGTTCGTTACCAACAGGAGGGTCACGGGACAGACCCAAGTGCCATGAGTTGACCAACCGAGATGACTGGCAGATGCACCAGCCGTGCTCCCCTACTGTGGGAACTCGCCGAGTTCTATCTGCCCAGCGCCTCGTCCCGAGTGTCGCTCCGCCGCCCTCCGTTGCGAGGGCGTCTGCCTCCCAACCGAGACCAACAGCGTCACCACCACCACCACTCACCACGACGGTCGGCATGTCGCAGCCCAGCAGTTGGACGAGGCGTGGCGTGACCCCTTGCGTTTGCACCAAGTGGATGCGCTCGTTGGTGCCGTCGGTGAGGTAGGAGAGGGCCCAGGCAGCGTCCGCCTGGACCTCGTGGTCGGCGTGGTGCAACAGCCGCACCATTGCGGGCAGCAGCATCAGCACCGTCGCTACGCTCGGCGCCGGGTTCTTGTTCCGGCACAGGTTCGACAGAGTCCACGTCAGGTTGCGGAGCAGGCCCACCTGGGGTGGGAAGGCATAGAATTGCCCAAAAACGACGTGGGTTGCTTTGGAAACATTTTTACAATAAATCCGTTATCCCAGTTTTATTACGCAGATTTTGTTCGTTCGATGGAGAGAAGACGATAGGGCCGAGCGGGGAGGGGCCACGCACGTGGAATTCGTTGATGTCGCGGTTCTCGAGCAGGGCGACCAACGGACCCACGGCGCCGCTGTTGACCACGAGGTCGCGGTGCTCCGCCCCATCACCTGCAGCAGCACCCAGGAGAGAGTGCGACAGAGCGACAGAGACAGAGACCGCTCCTTCAGCCTAGCAGTGGGGACAACTCCGCCACCACACCTGCACCACCACCCCATCCCGGCACCAACCACGCACCGGCGATGTTGCCCAGCGCCCAGACGGCCTGCTCGCTGATGTGCGGGTGCGGAGAGGTGACAAGGCGTACGAGCGCTGGGACGGCCCCGGCCGCCACCACGATGGCCGTCTGCTCGCCGGTGCCAGACGCGATGTTGGTGAGGGCCCACGCCGCCTCGAACTGCAGCGGCGGGCAGTCCTCGCGGTCCAGGCACGCCACGAAATCCGGCACTAGCCCCGCCGCGATTATGTCGTTCAAGGGTGGGTGCTTGTCACGGGATAGCATCTTCCTGCGGGGGCGGGGGGTGCGAGTTAGCCAACACAAGCTCAAAACAAACTAAATTAAGTGTGATGTGAAATGTAAAAGCGTCCTCAATTTTTTTTCAGCTTTACACACGAGGGACCGCGAGCACAAATTTACCACCGAACTCGCCACCACATTGGGAAATTTAAAAAGTGACGAGATGAGACACCATCTACAGTAGTTCATCTCAAGCCTAAACACAAGACCGTGCAAAAGCAGTGGGGCACAGCAGCAGGTCGAGCGTGGACTTGAGACGAGGTCAAGAGGTCAAGGCCACCCACGATCATTGCAGACTTCACCAGGGAGAGAGCATAATCCACGAATGGATGATTTTACACAATTGCTGGCCGACGAATGATGTAGAGTCGAACGCCTACGTTGCACGGTGTGTATAAAAGATGCTTGGATTATATCATCGTAATATTTAAAAAAGGGCCTCCAACTAGGACAGGGGTCGGCAAGCTGCGGCTCTGGAGCCACGCGTGGCTCTTTAAAGGACTGCTCCGTGATGGTATTTTATCAAGGACCACCGTCACGTGTTCAACACGGTGCATTGTGGCTCTTAGAGTTTGGCACCGAATTCGAACAAAAAAATTACCCTTTGTTATTTTTGTTGTTGCAGACCCACGAACTAAAAAGTGTTCTTCATCGATGGGCCTGCGAGCTACCGGCAGTCCCTGCCGTGAGCACCCCCACCCGGCCCCCCCCCTCCCCGACAAGACAAAATGTGACGCGGACCCTCATCGTGCCGTCACGATGAGGGTCCCTTCCTCACCCCCCCCGCTCCCAAAACCCCCCCCGCCGCTCCCACCACCCTCCCTCCGCTCCCTTCCTCACCCCCCCCCCCCGCTCCCTTCCTCACCGCCCCCCCCCCCCGCTCCCTTCCTCACCCCCCCCCGCTCCCTTCCTCACCGCCCCCCCCCCGCTCCCTTCCTCACCCCCCCCCCCCCGCGCTCCCAACCCCCCCCCCGCTCCCTTCCTCACCGCCCCCCCCCGCTCCCACCCCCCCCCCGCTCCCTTCCTCACCGCCCCCCCCCGCTCCCAACCCCCCCCCCGCTCCCTTCCTCACCGCCCCCCCCCCGCTCCCTACCTCACCGCCCCCTCCTCCCACCGCCCCCCCGCCGCTCCCTTCCTCACCGCCCCCCCCCGCTCTCCCAACCCCCCCCCCCGCTCCCTTCCTCACCACCCCCCCCCGCTCCCTTCCTCACCGCCCCCCCCGCTCCCTCCTCACCCCCCCCCCCGCTCCCTTCCTCACCCCCCCCCCCCCGCTCCCTTCCTCACCCCCCCCCCCGCCTCCCTTCCTCACCCCCCCCCCCGCTCCCTTCCTCACCCCCCCCCCCGCTCCCTTCCTCACCCCCCCCCCGCTCCCTTCCTCACCCCCCCCCCGCTCCCTTCCTCACCCCCCCCCGCTCCCTTCCTCACCCCCCCCCCCCGCTCCCTTCCTCACCCCCCCCCCCCGCTCCCTTCCTCACCCCCCCCCCCGCTCCCTTCCTCACCCCCCCCCCGCTCCCTTCCTCACCCCCCCCCGCTCCCTTCCTCACCCCCCCCCCCCGCTCCCTTCCTCACCCCCCCCCCCCCGCTCCCTTCCTCACCCCCCCCCCCCGCTCCCTTCCTCACCCCCCCCCCCCCCGCTCCCTTCCTCACCGCCCCCCCCCCCGCTCCCTTCCTCACCGCCCCCCCCTCCCTTCTCACCCCCCCCCCCTCCCTTCCTCACCCCCCCCCCCCCTCCCTTCCTCACCCCCCCCCCCCCTCCCTTCCTCACCCCCCCCCCCCCCCTCCCTTCCTCACCCCCCCCCCCCCCCTCCCTTCCTCACCCCCCCCCCCCCGCTCCCTTCCTCACCCCCCCCCCCCCGCTCCCTTCCTCACCCCCCCCCCCCGCTCCCTTCCTCACCCCCCCCCCCCCGCTCCCTTCCTCACCCCCCCCCGCTCCCTTCCTCACCCCCCCCGCTCCCAAAACCCCCCCCGCTCCCAAAACCCCCCCCCGCCGCTCCCACCACCCTCCCTCCGCTCCCTTCCTCACCCCCCCCCCCGCTCCCTTCCTCACCGCCCCCCCCCCCGCTCCCTTCCTCACCCCCCCCCCCGCTCCCTTCCTCACCGCCCCCCCCCGCTCCCAACCCCCCCCCGCTCCCTTCCTCACCGCCCCCCCCGCCGCTCCCTTCCTCACACGCCCCCCCCGCTCCCAACCCCCCCCCCCCGCTCCCTTCCTCACCACCCCCCCCCGCTCCCTTCCTCAACCGCCCCCCCCCGCATCCCTTCCTCACCGCCCCCCGCTCCTTCTCACCCCCCCCCGCTCCCTTCCTCACCCCCCCCCCCCGCTCCCTTTCCTCACCCCCCCCCCCCGCTCCCTTCCTCACCCCCCCCCCGCTCCCTCCTCACCCCCCCCCGCTCCCGTTCCTCACCACCCCCCCCCCGCTCCCTCCCTTCCTCACCCCCCCCCCCCGCTCCCTTCCTCACCCCCCCCCCCGCTCCCTTCCTCACCCCCCCCCCCGCTCCCTTCCTCACCCCCCCCCCCGCTCCCTTCCTCACCCCCCCCCCCCCGCTCCCTTCCTCACCCCCCCCCCCCCTCCCTTCCTCACCCCCCCCCCCCCCCCCCCCGCTCCCTTCCTCACCCCCCCCCCCCCCCCGCTCCCTTCCTCACCCCCCCCCCCCCCCCTCCCTTCCTCACCGCCCCCCCCCCCCTCCCTTCCTCACCCCCCCCCCCCCTCCCTTCCTCACCACCCCCCCCCCTCCCTTCCTCACCCCCCCCCCCGCTCCCTTCCTCACCCCCCCCCCCGCCTGCCTCCCCACCCCCCCCCCCGCTCCCTTCCTCACCACCCCCCCCCCCCGCTCCCTTCCTCACCCCCCCCCCCGCTCCCTTCCTCACCCCCCCCCCCCCGCTCCCTTCCTCACCCCCCCCCCCGCTCCCTTCCTCACCTCCCCCCCCCGCTCCCTTCCTCACCCCCCCCCCGCTCCCTTCCTCACCCCCCCGCGTCCCAAAACCCCCCCCCAACCCCCGCCGCTCCCACCACCCTCCCTCCGCTCCCTTCCTCACCCCCCCCCCCGCTCCCTTCCTCACCGCCCCCCCCCCCGCTCCCTTCCTCACCCCCCCCCCCGCTCCCTTCCTCACACGCCCCCCCCCCCGCTCCCAACCCCCCCCCCCGCTCCCTTCCTCACCCGCCCCCCCCCGCTCCCACCCCCCCCCCCCCGCTCCCTTCCTCACCGCCCCCCCCCGCTCCCAACCCCCCCCCCGCTCCCTTCCTCAACCGCCCCCCCCGCTCCCAACCCCCCCCCCGCTCCCTTCCTCACCGCCCCCCCCGCTCCAACCCCCCCCCCGCGCTCCCTTCCTCACCCCCCCCCCCCCCGCTCCCAACCCCCCCCCCCGCTCCCTTCCTCACCACCCCCCCCCGCTCCCACCCCCCCCCCGCTCCCTTCCTCACCACCACCCCCCCGCTCCCAACCCCCCCCCCTCTCCCTTCCTCACCACCCCCCCCCGCTCCCTTCCTCACCGCCCCCCCCCCACGCTCCCTTCCTCACCCCCCCCCCCCCGCTCCCCTTCCTCACCGCCCCCCCCCCCAGGCTCACTTCCTCACCCCCCCCCCCCCGCCCCACCCCCCCCCCCCCCCGCTCCCCTTCCTCACCAACCCACCCCCGCTCCCACCCCCCCCCCCGCTCCCCTTACATCACCACCCCCCCCCGCTCCACCAACCCCCCACCCCCCGCTCCCTTCCTCACCACCCCCCCCCGCTCACAACCCCCCCCCACCGCTCCCTTCCTCACACCACCCCACCCCGCTCCCAACCGCCCCCCCGCTCCCTTCCTCACCACCCCCCCCCGCTCCCTCATACCACCCCCCCCCGCTCCCTTCCTCACCACCCCCCACCGCTCCCTTCATCCCCACCCCCCCACGCTCCCTTCCTCACCACCCCCCCCCCGCTCCTTCCTCACCACCCCCCCCCGCTCCCTTCCTCACCACCCCCCCCCCGCTCCCACCCCCCCCCCCCCGCTCCCTTCCTCACCACCCCCCCCCCGCTCCCACCCCCCCCCCCGCTCCCTTCCTCACCACCCCCCCCCGCTCCCAACCCCCCCCGCTCCCTTCCTCACCACCCCCCCCCGCTCCCAACCCCCCCCCCGCTCCCTTCCTCACCACCCCCCCCCCGCTCCCAACCCCCCCCCGCTCCCTTCCTCACCACCCCCCCCCGCTCCCACCACCCCCCCGCTCCCTTCCTCACCACCCCCCCCTGCTCCCACCCCCCCCCCCCCTGCTCCCTTCCTCACCACCCCCCCCTCCGCTCCCTTCCTCACTACCCCCCCCCCGCTCCCTTCCTCACCACCCCCCCCCCGCTCCCTTCCTCACCACCCCCCCCCCGCTCCCACCACCCCCCCCTGCTCCCACCCCCCCCCCTGCTCCCACCCCCCCCCCCCCCGCTCCCTTCCTCACCACCCCCCCTGCTCCCACCCCCCCCCTGCTCCCTTCCTCACCACCCCCCCCCCCCCGCTCCCTTCCTCACCACCCCCCCCCCCACTCCCACCACCCCCCCCTGCTCCCACCCCCCCCCCGCTCCCTTCCTCACCACCCCCCCCTGCTCCCACCCCCCCCCCCCTGCTCCCTTCCTCACCACCCCCCCCCCCCCGCTCCCTTCCTCACCACCCCCCCCTCCGCTCCCACCCCCCCCCGCTCCCTTCCTCACCACCCCCCCCTCCGCTCCCACCCCCCCCCGCTCCCTTCCTCACCGCGCCGCCTGCGTCGCATACAGGAGTTGCTCAGAGTTGCCGCTCTTCACTCCGCATATGATGTCGCCGACGGTCATGACGTTGGGGAGCTTTTCTTGCGAGCCACGCAACAAACAAACACAACAGTTGACGTGTCACGGTTAGACTTGTTAGAGCTCTGGTTTTTTTGCAAGTCGACCAGGGTACACCACCATAAGTGGGCTTCGTTTTTTTTTGCAAACGCACGCACCTGTACGTACCGACAATTAGCACGGGTTGGCCTAGGTACCGTACGAAAGCAGTTCAAGCGATTTTAACCCTCCACCCCCTCCCCACCAGATGATTAACCCCAACAATAACCGCCAACCAGATCACAGGCAGACCCCCCCCCCCCCCTCGCTTAGCGTTCACACGCGCGCGCGGACACACACACACAAGCCAAAGCCGCCCGTACACATCTGGTGTTCAAGACGGGCGAGTCGCGGTCGTCCATGTGGTCGCCGGGCGCCTCCATGAGCGAGGAGCCCAGGTTGCGACGCTTCATGTGGCCCTCCTCCTTTTTGTTCTTGCGAAGCTCCACGGTCACTTCCATCCGCTGCCGCCTCAGCTCCTGACCAGGGGAAGAGGTCAAGTGCATAGAGACAAAACCCGGACAAGGAAGACAAACCATTGCACGAGAAGAAAGCGCTGCTCGAGACGCGATGGCCGTATTTACACGGCGTGGTTTTTTTTGGGGGGGTCCGTCTCTGGGGAAGTACCGGGGGTCTTTCGCCATGCGCTGGTTAAATGCACCACGCGCCCCCCCCACCCACCCCCAATGCTCATGCAGAGTTTGAGTACTCAAAAGCCGAGGATCAAAACTCTGGTTAGCGTTAAAAACAACAAGTGGCCAAGCCTCGCTCATCACCTCCCCATCCAGCAGCGCACACCGCATCAGAAGACTTTCCCCAGCACCAGTTAACATCGTGTGTGCAGCGACAGATTAAGATTGTGCGGGGCCTGTGGCATTGGTTAGAAAGGAGCCCTAAATAAGACTAAATAAATATTAAACACACGTTTAACTTGCATAGTTAAGTAATTGTAGGTTCTCATTTGTTATACGGCCAGATAAGACAAATCGCTAACCTTAACCAGTCGTTCATAAAAGTTGAAGGCTGTATAGTACTATAACAATAGAGCAAGTGCCGAATCACCGAATCGGAATTGATAGCTTGAAAGCATTTAGCGCGGGGCCCTTGAAAGTGCACGGCCTGTAGCTACTACATGTGTAGTAGCTACTTGCGCTACCAAGGTAATCCAGCACTGATCGTGGGGTTCGTTTTTGCCATTATTTTGGTCAGCCACTCGGCTATCGTAGCGGCAACGCCAACAATTGGGGTGCGCGAACGGGGACAAACGTGACGGGGGGGGGGGGGGGAAGTTTTGCTCGTATCGGATCGGGTTAACGAGCGCAAGAATCCAAACCATGCGTTTAGATTATTTGGCAGTGCCTATACAATTTCCACGTGTAATGATGATAAAGCAACTTCGATGGAGCCATCATGGGTTGTTTGTTGCTGGGTCGTCTGTGGAAAGGAAAATACAGCTCAGTGGGCTTCACCTGGCAAAATTCACCACGCCAAATTAGTTTAAGCAACGCAATCATCCAGAGCCAGGGCCGGATTTCCAAACAGCGGGCACTGCCAACGGCCGATGAAAAAATAAAATTTGACTATGGATTTTTTGTTTGTATGACAAAAATATTTTCTTGAATGTATATACTTGTATAGCAAGAATAGACGGTGTGTAAGCAAAAGCGGCAGTGTCACATCAACTCCCCCCCCCCCCCCCCCCATGGTGAGAAATTAACACCGGGAGATAAACCGAGATGTTTTAATTGCAAAAATAAGCAACACCTTCAAAGGGTGTTTTTCACACAAATCTCATTCTCAAATGGGACAGTCTTGCAGGGGAAGAGGCGGCGTTGTTGCAGTCCCTACGGTTGATCGGAGAGAGTTTATTTTTTTGGTATCAGCTTTAGCGAGCGATTGCGGCTGTAGTGATATGGGGCAGTAGCAGCGGTCGACAGTTAATCACAGAAGGCCGAACAAAGCAGAAATGCTTGGGCCTTCAATCAGGTCCTGCCTGCAGCTACACCCCCCCCACCCTCGCCAAGGCAGACTTCCATCTCCTCCTCCTAACTTGAGCCACGAAGGCGAGCGGAGACCAGGACAGGAAACTCACGTTCATGTCCTTCCCCTTGTACTTGAACCGATGGATGCGCGTGTCGGCGACCTTTTCCCGGGGCATGGTGGTGGTGGTGGCGGCGGCGGCGAGCGTGGTTTGTTTTTGAGCAGCCACAAGTCGCTTCAACCTGCTAGAGTAGCAGCAGCAAGTCGGGTCCGTCTGCAATGGGGGGGGGGGGGGGGGGGGGGGGGGGGGGGGGGGGGGCTCAAAAACCGCAAACTCCTCACCTCCCGCCCGCAGTGTGACCACGCCAACAATTGAAACAGCGCCACCCAAGGGAAGGGAAGGGGCGAGGGGTGGGTGGGCGCGTCTCAGACGTGGCTCTGCAATACCCACTTCCGCGCGGCCCGTTTCGCCAAACGCTAAGCAAGTGTCCACAATGGGGATACGAATACAAAATTGGATTTCACACTTTTTTTATACGCTACGTTAACCTTATGTTCGACAGGTGTAACAGTAATTTCACGACCACCACGCGATGCAATTGTTACGATTCGACCCGCACCGTCTTTTCTTGCAACATTCCAAATACAGCGGCCACTAGCGGTTGGAGTCGCCGCCACCGCCCATTACACAACGTTTAGGAACGTGCAACAAAAACCCCCCACGCAACGCTTCACATTACACGAGCTTAAACATCGAACATTCTCTCAACGATTGCTTGACGCGAAACAACGCACAACCACAGAGTTACCCTGGCCGCGTTTCGCCTCGAACGGAATTGCTCGGAATGAACGGACCCGATCCGTTAGATTCTCGGAAGCCAAAAATCAGGTGTTGTACATGGATGGTGCATTGCAGACGCGTGACCGCCATGCATCACGCATGGTACAAGCGGCTACGGTGCTGTGCTGAAAAAGCCAGTGTTGTACTGTACTGTTCTTGACCGTCTACGGCTTCCCTTCCCAACTTCCCCAACCAAGCACAGACCAGCGAGACGTATGCTCATGCCGCCACCGCCACCAACACGACCCACACAAAAACATGCATCGCAACGTGTGGAGGAAGGCACACATCCAGCAGTGGATTGACAACAGGGCTGTACATGCCCTCGTTCTGTGGCAAGTACTCGCAAAATCGAGAAGGGCTTACTTACACGACCAACACACACACCACCCTCTCTTCCCCCTCCTTGTGCCAGGCTAGGTGCACTTTGGAGAAGGGGCTCTTGGCTTACCGGGCACGGGGGTTACGCCTACGTGAGTTGAACCAGCAATATGCCACGTGCTCCCCCGCACCCCGCCACGTGGGATTTAAATACCCCACTGCTCGCCCCCGATTGGCCGACACCTCGGCTCGGTGTACCGATCGGAGAGTCGGAGATTCTGGTTTTTCACACCTGGCCGCAATTTTGATGGAACTTGGAAAGAGGGGTGGGGGTGGAGGGGGATGGAGGTGAGGGTGGAGGGGGGTGGGGGTGGAGGGGGGTGGAGGGGGGTGGAGGTGGGGTGGGGGGACGTGGTTTGAAAATTAATCTACGCACGTGGGTCATTAGACTCCAGCGTCTCGCGGTCGGTCTTGATTATTGTTGATTAGTACACGGACCGGAGCAGAAATTGCGAGAATCCGAAAGATGAGCGGCCGCATCTTGCGTCGTGAGTGGTCGCGATGGATATTCCGCGCCTCCGATTAGTCGGCTACGTACGGCGCGAAATAAGTTCAACACACACACACATAAATACATTTGCACGGCTAATATGAGTTCAGTATTTGATAACCCCCTTCCACTCATTTCACACGGGAATCGCATAATTCACTACTAATAGCCACGGCAAAGCATTGAAATCGCTGATACTATGTATGTAGAACTTCTTTCGCACCGTACATAGTCAACCGTGCTGATCGGATGTGCTGTTGCCGCCTCGTGCAGCTGGTAGCCCAAATATCTGATCCAGGCTCATGGAATGACTGCACCACCATCACCAATTATCTTGCCCTCCGTTGATATGCGAATTAAGTTGCGAGGCGCTGCACGCGCCTGATGATTGCAAAACAGGTGTCGCGTTTACACCATTGGAACCTCATTTGCCAGTTAAAAATATGATAATTGTTTTTTTACCCTTGTATCTGGCAACACAACTAACACCTTTTTTTACAAGGAGTCATGTTTGCTTCTTGGCGTCATCTGGTCCAACCCATGTGAGACTAGGCTCTAAGGAAAGCTGTCTCGGGTGTGGACCAATCAACTTCAAGGACAGTGCATACATTATCAAAGTTGTGTTTTTTTGGCATTATGGCTGCAGGTATTGTGGTCTATGCAAACATGACTCCTTGCAGAGGTGTGGACTCGAGTCATGTGACTTGGACTCGAGTCAGACTCGAGTCATGAATTTGATGACTTCAGACTCGACTTGGACTTGCATAACAATGACTTTGTCCCACCTCTGAGGTGTGGACTCGAGTCATGTGACTTGGACTCGAGTCAGACTCGAGTCATGAATTTGATGACTTCAGACTCGACTTGGACTTGCATAACAATGACTTTGTCCCACCTCTGAGGTGTGGACTCGAGTCATGTGACTTGGACTCGAGTCAGACTCGAGTCATGAATTTGATGACTTCAGACTCGACTTGGACTTGCATAACAATGACTTTGTCCCACCTCTGACTCCTTGTAAAAAAGGTGTGAGTTTTGTTGGCAGATAAAAGGGTAAAAAAACAATTATCAGGTCTCACGTTGCTAGAGAGAGGTTGAATCGGCCACCTCCCTGCACGTTGATTAACGCGTCAACAGCCGACACTCACCACTAATTGGCGGTGAAGTCACCGCAGACCCCTTGTGCCAGGCTCGGTGTACTTTGAGGCTAATTGGAACAAAGACAAAGATCGCCCTATAGCCTTAACAGACTTTCGATTTAAAGCTTTCGTGACTGCAGGGATTCATCTTATTGGTTCTTTCGGTAAAGTCACGTGGAAGGGAAATAATAAAATAATAAAAATAAAACATAATAAAATGAGACGCTATCTTTCCGACAGACCTGTTCTTCACCTGAGGACGGCTGCTTGCGTTGTGGCCGAAACGTCGTGAGAATTATTTTATTATGTTTAATTTTTATTACTTCCCTTCTACGTGACTTTACCGAAAGAACCAAGAAAACGTTTACAGACTGTTGGGGCAAGTGCTGTTAGCGAGCACCTATAAAGGCCGGCACGTCACACGAGGGGGTAGGTGGCCAACACCACGCCAGGCCGCCTTTGTCTCCCTAGTGGCGATGTTTACACATCGCACCAGGTACTCATTTGAGGCTGAGTCGACCTAGGGGAGGTCCAGGACTGGTTCAGATAATCGTCACCGGTGTTGGTAGCCGTGAGCGGCAATCGAACTCGTTTTGCCCGGGTTCGTAGCGCAGCTGCACGACCGCTCAAGTTGGAACAAAGATCCCCCGTATAGCCTCAATAGGCTTGTCGGGCAAGTGCTGTTAGCAAACACCCACGCATACACACCCACGCATACACACACACGTACCCACGCAACAGGTCCATCATTTCAAATCAGCGCTGTCTACCACACTCAAAGACAACCACCTCCACCCCCCCACCACTGTGTAGCCTTTAACAGACTGTTGGGGCATGTGCTGTCAGCAGCGAGCAGCATCAATGAAGGCCGGCACGGCACATGAGGGGGTGGAGGAAGAACACGTGGATGATGAGAGAACACGCACGCGCAGGGTAGAGACATCATCGTCACGCTGATATTCATCCAGCGGTGGATAGTGGTGATGACACTGCGAGGTTGAGACAGGAAGAAGAACACGTGGATGTTGAGAGAACACGCACCACTGGTTGAGAGACATCGGTCACATTGACTGCGCAGAGAAGTCAAGCTGTGCGTTGACAAGCAGGACGCGTTCCGGCCAGTGAGAGACGATAACGAGACTAACAGCGGAGTGCCAGCCCACGACATTGACTTGCCACGTGGATTGTGACATCGCATTGACATTTTGAGATGACCACGAAAAACATTAGATTTTTTATTTTACCAGGTAAGGCTCACTGAGCTATGAAGCTCTTTCACGGAAGCCACCCGGCCACAGATGGCAGCGCGACTAAGTGGTTTATCATCACGTGAAGATTTCTAGCAGCAGCTCAAACACTCTAAACGCGCGTCGATTCTAAATGTGGAGGGAAAAGCCCCGGAGGATCCGGGAGAAAAATCTACGCGAACACGGAAAAAGAGACACGCAAACTCCAAAACAATCAGGCGTCAGGGTCGGGATCGAACCCACGGCCTCCTGCATACCAGGCGAGGGAGTTAACATCTCGCAACCGTGATGCTATGACGATGGCACGGGAACATTTTCATTCAGCAGTGGATTGACCATGGCTGGTGGTGATGATGACCCAAATGAGACACCTTGGCACTGCCTGGCCCAGTGGCCTAATGGATAAGGCACCAGCCTCCGGAGCTGGGGATTGTGGGTTCGAGTCCCATCTGGGTCGTGATTTTTTATTTTTTTTATTTTAATTACGTATACAGTTTAACTTCATATTAAACATAAGTCCACGATGAATATAAACCACAGCTTTATACGTTCATATTAATATATCGATGTTTATGAAAGTAATTACAAGTTTTATACGTGGCTATAATTCAACATATAAATATTTTTTTTTCTATTTACGATACAATATATACAAAAAACTCAACACGTTCATCAATTACCGCCGTAGCATTAAAATAAAATAAAAATTAGAGGTGACGTTTCGAGCAATGACCCTTCGTCATATGTTACCAATAAGTGCTACTATCCTAAACGTAGCCAGTGACATATTTTCAACGTTGCTGTTAACAAAATCAGAATCTTGATCCTGATGAGCCATGAAGCTCTGGAGCGTGGTGTTTAATTCTTCACCTGAGGACGGCTGCTTGCGTTGTGACCGAAACGTCGTGAGAATTATTTTATTATGTTTTATTTTTATTATTTATTATTTCCCTTCTACGTGACTTTACCGAAAGAACCAAGAAGATGAATCCCTGCAGTCACGAAAGCTTTAAATCGAAAAAAAAAGTGGAGATGTTCGTGCACGGGCACTCCGAATGCAATCGATAGTCTGAGTCTGCC